TCACAGCAACCTCTAACTCCTGGGCTCAAGCAAGTCTCCTGCCTCAGCCTCCCAAATAGCTGGGACCACAGGTGCCCGCCACAACGCCTGGCTATTTTTGGTTGCAGCTATCATTGTTGTTTGGCGGGCCCAGGCTGGATTCGTACCCACCACCTTAGGTGTACGTGGCTAGCGCCTTAGCCACTTGAGCCACAGGCGCCAAGCCAAAGTAAGTGCTTTTTATGTGTTTACTATTTTTTTTTCTTTGAGACAGAGTCTCTCTCACTCTGTTGCCTAGGCTAGAGTAGTCAGTCTAGGTTAGTCTAGCTTACAGCAACCTCAAATTCCTGAATTTAAGAGATCCTCCTGCATCCACATCCCAGAGTGCTAGGATTACAGGCACCCACCACACCGTGCCCAGCATTGTTTGCTATTATTCTTAACTTCCAATTGAAGGTCAGGGAGGGTCAGTGGTTCCCAACACCTCTTATCTCCCTGAGTCTAGGTCCTACCATGATAGAAACCATAAACCTACTTTTTCTAAGAAGAAAAATGTATTTGCTGTTCCTGTTATATATGTAGGGTTTTGAGTAATTTTATTTTATTTTAATTTTTTTGCAGTTTTTGGCTGAAGCTGGGCTTGAACTCGCCGCCTCTCACATATGGGGCCGGCGCCCTACTCCTTTGAGCCACAGGCGCCATCCCAGTTTTGAGTAATTTTAAAGATGGAGGAAGCACAATTGGGTTTTTGGGAGTAATTGTTGAGGGGTAAATAAGAGTAGCAACCCTTACTGCTGCCCATAACCCAGGTCTCTTTGCCTACTTGCTGTGACAATGGAGGCCCGTTCAGCTAAGCTGGTAGGAAATTGCTAGCCCTAAGGCAAGTCAGCTCTGAAGGCAGAGGGACCAGGTGCCTGCTGCTTCCTAGCTAAATAAACTTACGCAAATTTTTTTTTTTTTTTTTTTTTTTGAGACCGTCTCATTATGTCACCCTGGGTAGAGTGCTATGGCATCACAGCTCACAGCAACCTCAAATTCTTGGGCTTAAGCAATTCTCTTGCCACAGTGAGTGTCCCAAGTAGCTGGGACTATACGCGCCCACCACAATGCCCAGCTATTTTTTTGTTGCAGTTGTTTAGCTGGCCTAGGCCAGGTTTGAACCTGCCACCCTTAGTGTATGTGGCTGGTGCTGTAACCACTGTGCTGCTGGTGCTGAGCCACTTATGCAAATTCTTTAATGGCTTTGAGCTGCAAGCTCTTTGTCTATAAAATGAGCTATGTTAGTATTCATCTCTTTTTTTTTTTTTTTTTTTTTTTGAGACAGAGCC